CTGTGTAGACATACTATATAAGACACTCCAGTACTGGCATAAAAATAGACATTAGACCATTTAGTGTGACAGAATAAAATGTACTCATCCATATCCAAACATATATGGTCAGTTGATTTTCAAGAAAGTAGCCTAGGTAATTTAGTAAGTAAAGAAGTATCTTTTCTACACATGAAAAAATGCTCATCATCACTGGCCATCAGAGAAATGCAAATCAAAACCACAATGAGATACCATCTCACACCAGTCAGAATGGTAATCATTAAAAAGTCAGGAAACAACAGGTGCTGGAGAGGATGTGGAGAAATAGGAACACTTTTACACTGTTGGTGGGATTGTAAACTAGTTCAACCATTATGGAAAACAGTATGGCGATTCCTCAAGGATCTAGAACTAGATGTACCATATGACCCAGCCATCCCATTACTGGGTATGTACCCAAAGGATTATAAATCATGCTACTATAAAGACACATGCACAGGTATGTTTATTGTGGCACTATTCACAATAGCAAAGACTTGGAATCAACCCAAATGTCCATCAGTGACAGACTGGATTAAGAAAATGTGGCACATATACACCATGGAATACTATGCAGCCATAAAAAAGGATGAGTTTGTGTTCTTTGTAGGGACATGGATGCAGCTGGAACCCATCATTCTTAGCAAACTATCACAAGAACAGAAAACCAAACACCGCATGTTCTCACTCATAGGTGGGAACTGAACAATGAGATCACTTGGACTCAGGAAAGGGAACATCACACACCGGGGCCTATCATGGGGAGGGGGGTGGGGAGGGACTGCATTGGGAGTTATACCTGATGTAAATGACGAGTTGATGGGTGCTGACGAGTTGATGGGTGCAGCACAGCAACTTGGCACAAGTATACATATGTAACAAACCTGCACGTTATGCACATGTACCCTAGAACTTAAAGTAAAAAAAAAAAAAAAAAAAAAAGTGTCTTTTCTAATGAATAGTGATGTAATATCTGAATATTTATATGGGAAATAATGAACCTCAACCCCTATATTAAAAGTTCACAGGTATGAATTTAAATATATTATGAATCAAAAGTAAAAATCTAAAACCATAAAGCAAAAAAAAAAAAAAAAAAAAACCCAGAAAAAAAACAGTCTTTACAAATGTTGGTGTAGGGAAATACTTATTTGATAAGATGGAAATAAATTAATAAGTTGAGATTCACTGAAATTCAACATGTCAAAAATCAAAGTAAGATAAAAATTGGGGAAAAATACTGAAAGTACATAGGATATGTATCTTAAATATACAAGAATTCTTACAAGTCAATGAGATAAACACAGTAAAAAATTGCAAAAGATTTAGACATTTCAAAATAGAAAAAATACCAATGACCAGTTAGCATAAGAAAAGATGTTCCACATCTATATCCATCAGAGAGAAACAAAGTAAAAGCACAAAGAGATGTCATTACAAAGCCAGAAGAACAGCTAAAATTGAAGATTGATTAGTTGCGAGTGATGCTGAAGATGTGAAGCAAGTGGGGCTCTGGTACGTCATTGCTTTTGGGAGTATAAAGTTCTCAACTAAGGAAAATGGTTGAACAAGTTCTTTAAAAAAATAAGCATGTGCTTATATATGTTCCTGCAATTCCTCTCACTTTTACTCAAAATAAGAGAAAAAAAAAATCATCTACAGATTTTGTACAAAACAAAAGTCTTCCAGAAAAATATTCATAGAACGCTAGTCATAATACCCCAAAAAAGAAACAACGCATGGGTGAATGGATAAACAAGCAGTGGTACAATCATCCACAGGAAATAGTACTTAGCAGTGAATAACAAATAAATTCCTTACACATACAACACAGATGAATTGCAGCTCTGTTATGCTGCGCAAAAGAAGTCAGACACAAGACTATATAAGCTATGATATCATGAATATAAAATTCCAGAAAAGGTAAAACTAATCTATAATAAAAATAGAATCAGTGATTGACTGGACATGGGGAGTAAGAGGACTGTTTGCAAAGAGGTGGGGGGACTGTATTCTGAGGCAATGGAATTATGCTTTATCTTTATGGAGTAGTACATATTGGCAAAACTTACTGATCTGTATGTTTATTATGTATATTTTTATAGTATGTACATTATATTTTGGTGAAGATTATAAATAATACACATAGATTTACTAATTAAGAAGAATTTATCAAAATATTTCATGAATCATGAACTTGAAAACTCATTTTCCTAAATGATAATCATAGCTCCAATTCTACTTTTACTTTCTTAATAAGACATTTTGAAGTTCTAAGGAAGTAGGGACTAGCAGAGTTTCTCAATCTTGGCATTATTTACATTTTGGAATGAATAATTATATCACTGTGGAGTGCTGCCCTGTGCATTACAGGGTGTTTAGCAGCATGCTGGGCCTTCATCTGTTCCCCCAGTAGTGACACTCAAAAAGGGCTCCAGACATTGCTGAATGTTCCTGGGGGGTAGAAAGAAAGGGTCCTAGGAGGAAAGTCTTTGACCTTGGAAATTACAGATTTGGGACATCAAGCCTGTGGTCAGAAAGATGTGGATAGATTTCCAGACCTAACAGTTGTCAACTTTGTTTTCACTGCAGTTCACTTAATTATTCAAAGCTTCTATATTAATTCACATGTATAATTTGAAAATAGATAATGAACATCAGGATATTAACATTATACTTGACATCAAATCAACCCTTAACATGAATATATAGTGTTATTATCTCTGTTCAACTGTGCAAATATCGTCTGTGAATAAAATTACTAAAATAACATCTTGTTATTACTACACTACTTTACAGTTTAACTTTTTATAGCTTATGATCTCCATTACATATATTTATTATTATTAAAATGTTAATTTTTATTTATTTCCCATTATAAGGATAATATTAAATAACCTTATTAAATAATTAATAAATAATTAAATAATTATTAAATAATTAATCCTATTTTCAAAGATTTTTTTTTTGGTCTATTATATGGGTGCCAAAACAAGGCATTTAACACATCTGATTCTTTGTGTTCTCCATTGTGAAACAAGAAAATGTAAATTCCTTAATTATTGCAACATGCAAAAGAAATGAAGTCTTTTGAAAAATTTAGGTTTCAATAATTTAAAAAATTATCCTTAAATCCTTAAATTATTTACAGTTCCTAGAATTTAAAGAAAGAATTAAAAACATATATAAATGATGTAATATGGATAAAGCCTTGAGGGAGAGAGCAGAATGAGATATAAGTAATTCTAATATAGCTCTAAAAATAAGCTGATGCTTCATTCCTTGAGCAGAAATTTATGCGGATGTTGACAAAGAATAAAATATTTTACAGCCACAGGTAATATAATAACCCACATATCTTGAAAAGGCAATATAATATTTTTTACTCATACTACGTTTTACCAACTCTCATTCAATCATTAGCCAAATATTTGTTAAGTATGATAGATACCCATCGTAGTAATTCAATGAATATCAAATCAAAACCACAGATTCTGTTTCAAGAGGGTAGTTTAGTATAGTTGAGGAGGAACAGCTTACAATGAAAGAGGAAATAGACCGGTTACAGTCAACTTCTGTGAGAGTGAACAAGAGGTCTGAAGCAACTGCACCTCTAGTAATTAAAGAAATGTTGCATGAGATGTGTAGTAGATTAAGACTTCAAAAATGTAGCACTTTGTCATTAAAGAGGAAAGAGGTGTTTTAAACAGGGCATATTGCTAGAAGAAAGTTCTAAGGTGCAGTTAAGCTGAGAATCTTTGGTATTAGTGAGATAGCTGGCTCACCCAGAACCTGGTGTTACTGAGTAATGTGAGTTGCAGCAAGATTATAGAGACCTTTCAATGCTGGGTGGAAGAATTATAACTTTTTCCACAGTGAATAAGTATTAAACAATTTGAAAAGAATTGTACAATTGATATCGTAGAAATATACATACAGTGACATGAAGTACAAAGAATTCCAAATGGAGGGTGGAAAAGAACACCAGAGAGCAGTAATGTAACTATCAGCGTTTTGTTTAGTTATAAAAGATAATGTGAAAGACTGAATTACTGCATAAAACAATTTATGATTTATGTAAACACTTCTTGTATAAATTTCTAAATTTCTATTTTTTAAAAATTATTCACATTGGTACAATTTACTCCCATGTATAAAATGTGGTTTCGGTTTACAAATGTAGTGGAAGGAAAAAAAAATATTTTCTATAGATACATGCACGCATTTAAAAAATATATATTCTAAATGTTTATTTTCTTCTGACTCTTGAGGACATAATATCACAATATTTATAATATGTGGGGGAAATATGTTATTTGTAATGTCTCTGATTGTCTAATATCAGCCATAAGACTACTCAGGTGGAGAACAGTTTAGCTAAACCCGCATGGCCCCAGTGAAACACAGGCTGCCTCAAATCTGAACAGGTCTATTAGGAAAAAAATAAAAACCAAACAATACAATGGCAAATGTTGTGTATTTTGGGTAATCTGAGGGCCAATTGCATCACCACCATGTTCCTTCAATTTCCTAAGCAGAGATGTATTACTTCATGTATCAGGTATCATGGTACCAAGCTGAAGAACTTGGAAAGAAATAGTCCTGCTCTGACCTCAATCTGTGAACTTTGTAAAATTGCAGGTTAAAAAGTATTCTCACATTAATTTTAGTTCTCCAACTAAGCATCTTTTTCTATACAAACTTTGGCTAACATTGTTGAAATGCTTTGAAATATTCTGGAGATAAAATCGGAAGATTTTTTAAATAAAATTTCTATGATGATGATTACTTTTAAACACTCTGACACAGGGAGTTGAAATGCACTTCATAAGAAAAAATAAAACCAGCTTTGGTACACATAGAATAAATAATTAAAACATTTCTGTGTCTTTATAATAAAGTTTTCCCCAGAGACCAAGCAAAACGAAGCAAAACAGATCAAACCAAGTCAGAGAACAATGACAAAAATTAGCACTTACCCATATTTTGCAAAATTTGCCCACCGTTTCACTATGGATCTACTCAAAATTTCCTCAGCTTTTGTGTAATTAACTCTTCTTTCCAGAGGTAAACCAAAGACAAATTCAATTTCATAGCCATGCATCACTCCCATCCATTCTGGCCACGGAAGTTTGGAGGATCGGTGTTCAAAATAGTAGAAAAAGGCATTATTTCCCCATTCTGAGAACTTCTTGGTGAACTCCAAGGCAGGGCATATGATATTATAATCCCCAACAACATCATCCAACGCCTCACGGTAGTTTTCAGGTCTCTGATCATCTACCCAGTCTGTGTAATGAAAAAGGATGGATTCCTTTCCAAACTCACTCACACCTGGAAAAAATATTTTTAAACCTTCCTGAAATTCGTTTCTAGTTATGATACTATTGTTATCTTTGCTGAAGCCAGGAGCACCATAGACTAAAAAAGCTGTCCCTTCATCTTTATTAACACCCACCAAGATCTGGGTTTTTTTAAATTGTCCAAGTTCAAGTAATATGTCTGGCATGTCAGTGAGAAAATCACCATCCATGGTTGGACCGAAGTTTACTGACAAGAGAGTCCCATAGGGGACAACAAATGCTTCATTCAGAAGAATTTCGTGGGGATCTTTATTTCTAAGGCACTTGACTATTTCAGTCTCATTATCTCTAGAGCAACCAGTCAATTTAGCCAAGGTCAATGTTCTGTTCCTAGCTTCATAAAGAGATGTTACTGCCCAAGGAGCATTAGAGGATCCACTTTGTAGAATGGCTCTGGTGAACAATGAATGGCTTCCAGGAGAAAGCAAATGCAGGCTAACTGAAGCTGCTCCTGCACTTTCTCCAAAGAGAGTTACACTTTTAGGATTTCCACCAAAGGCTGCTATATTTTTTTGAACCCACTGAAGAGCCAACTGTTGATCAAATAAACCCATGTTCCCTGGAGCCTCAGGATTTCCTGGCAAAGCTAAGAATCCAAGGGCACCCACCCTATAGTTCATTGACACTACAATAACTCTTTCAACTCGAGCCAGAAACTTGCCATCATAAACATGTAAAGATGATGTTCCAGTCTGAAAACCACCACCATAAATCCATATCATTACAGTAGCATTTTTTGGTTTAGGTGCCGGAATCCATACATTTAGATATAAACAGTCTTCACTGAGGTCAGTGTTTGGGTTCCACATCTCTGATCCATGGAAGCCTGGAAAACTTTGATCTATGTTCTGATAGCAAGAATTTGCATATTTTGTGGCATTCCAAACATCAGACCACTTGGTCAGAGACTGTGGCTTTTTGAATCGAAGTCTACCAAGAGGTGGCTGTGCATAGGGAATTCCAAGAAAGGCTGTTACCGTGCCACCAAGAACTGTTAAGTTCATCCCTCTGACTTTTCCATTCTTTGTTGCAATTACGATGTCATCTTCAGTATGTGACTTTCCAATAAGCATGCAGAGCAAAAGAAACCAAAAGAGAAATCTGATGCATATGATTGTGACTTTGCTATGCATATTGATTTCTGAAAAAGAGGTAAGTATAATGTTTTATAAGCCTTCTGCATATAGCATATTATACTTTACTGATGATAATTACCTAAAATATAGTAGTTAGTAATTCTACACATTATGAAAACAAGAGATATTTTAGTTTTAAATTTAGAAAAAAAATAGTGGAATGGAAAATAAAAAATACTCATTTTGGGGATATTTATTGCTAAAGTTTTGTAAGGAAGAGCTAGTAGAATGTTTGTCCTAGTCAAATTTAATATTACTTCTGACTATATGTACAGTTCCACCAAAAAAGCAGTAAACAGTAGTCTACCTACATCAGATATAATTTCTACCTTGGTAAGAGGAGAAAATACAAGTTCATATATTCTCTGAAATATCATGACTGGCTGGTTCTTGGCAGCACTGTTAAGTAGGTTAAGAACTTTTAAGGATCAATAGATTGTCATTATTGTCCTTTTCTGTGTTCTTTGTCTTTTCTGTGGTCCCTTTTGCCAAGTGATATCTTCCTCTGTATGATATCTTCCTCTAGTATATAAACTGAAGATAATTTAGACAAATTATTCATAGAATATTAAGTAACAAATATATAGTAGTCACTATTATTCTACAAACTGTGAAAGCTAACAAACATGCCACCACTGGTAAGGGCTGTGGAAAAATAAAAAGTGAAGGCTGAGGATATATTCCAGGTAATTTCTCTAAAATTTAATAAACATGAGGGACTCTCTATCACATTTATAATGTCAATAGAGAGAAGCAGGGGCTAGTATTGTAATGTCTGGGAGAAGACTGTGGCTTAAGAGGAATTTTATACTCAGTATTACTCAACATGTATTAAGATTTGTTATAGCAATTTGTTAACAGATTAAAGTATATGCAACTAGTGAAGCTAAATGTGTTAGCACAGTCAGAATTACTTGCATTTTTATAGTGAAAAAAATGACTGAAATTAGAGGATCGAAGCTTAGAAACTATTGGGCCTCATGGCAGAAGCAAAAATAATCTTTGTGACCTACAAAATCATAAATATTTGACATTTATGAAATATTAAACAATATTTAATGGATGACATAGACTATTGGGGAGATCAAAGTTTTATCAGAAATTCATAATGCAGACATGAGTTTCTTTTCAATAAGAAAGAAATTAAAAATCAGATTTGGAAACTGTGACAAAAAGGGACAGCAAAATTTAATGCAAATATCATTTAAAAGAACTAATGCCCCCCCCCCTTTTTTTTTTTTTTAGATGGAGTCTCAGGCTATCGCCAAGCTAGAATGCAGTGATGTGATCTCAGCTCACTGCAACCTCTACCTCCTGGGCTCAAGCGATTCTTCTGCTTCAGTCTCCCAAGTAGCTGGGATTACAGATGTGTGCCACCACTCCCAGCTAATTTTTGTATTTTAGTAGAGATGGGGTTTTACCATGTTGGCCAGGCTGGTCTCAAACTCCTGACCTCAAGGGATCTGCCTGCCTCAGCCTCCCAAAGAGCTGGGATTCCAGGCATGAGCCACCACACCTGTCCATAAAAGAACTAAAGTGTTTATGTAACTGAAAGAAACCCAACTAAACTAGTCAATTGCAAATACTGATTCTCATTCACATAATAATAACAAAGATTCATTAATGTACAAAGTCTTCCCTTTATTTTTTCTCAAGTTGTAATCCAACCTACACAACCAATGAACGAATCCTACAAATACTAAGCATTTGTATTAGTTTTTTTCTTTATTTAATTTAGATTTCTCAAAACAAAGAGAATAAATAACGATTCTAATGTCTATGTCCCAGACCTAGGATATCATATTTCAAATCAGCCTAATTCACCAATGGTCATAGGACATCTGGTGACCTACAAGTATTTTTTATCCCAATAAATATCTGAATTGATTAATTCATGGTCTGGAGCATTTGGTTCAGGACTTGATACTTAATGGATATATCTATATCTATATCTATATCTATATCTAATTCTAACAATATCCATATGTATATGCATATATATTTACATTTAAAATGACTGCTATAATAATAAGGTTTAAAAAATCAAGCTACAAGATTATTATTTTTTCAGTTATGTTTGGTAGAATTAGATGTGTGTTAAGATCAATAAAACATAATTAAAATATATTTTTAACAGCATTTCTACATTCATGATATTTACGTACTATTATATAATAATAAATGCAATTTGTTGTACAGTCAAATGAGAGGGATACATTCTCAGAAATGCATTGTTAGGCGATTTTATCATTGTGCACATATTATAAGTGTACTCACGTAAACTTAGATGCTATAGCCTACCACACTTTTAGGCTATATGGTATAGGCTGTTGCATCTAGGCTACAAATCTGTACAACATGTTCCTATACTGAATACTGTAGGCAATTGTTAGAAAATGGTAACTGTATGTGTATGTAAGCACAGAAAAGGTACAGTGAAAATACTATATTATAATTGCATAAGACCACCATTATTGATTGAAACATCATTGTGTATTGTATGACTGTATCATAAATCATAGTAAATAAATAAAATATAACAATGACTTAAAGTTTCCTACTACCTGACACTAATAACATTTCAGACATAATCAAAGTTTTAGAGGCACTACTGCTTCAGTTCTTTTTTCTTTCTGATAACCACTAATCCCTTTCTCATAAATAAACTCAGGAGAGCACCCGGAGAAAAACAAAGTGCTAGTATGATTTTTTATTTTCTTTTTTGAAAACATCCTCTAGGAAGAAAAAGTGAATAAGGTGCAAAGCTGATTGGGCTGTTCGTTCTAAGCTGCAATTTAATAAATTAATTGCAGCATCCCTGGTTGTATCCATTCTCCCTCTTGCCTAGTTCAGTCAATGTTCTTCTAAGTCTAATGCAAAAATCATCTGATTTTTTTCTTGATTTTATTGAATATTAGTTTGTCTTTAGAAAGCAAACTCCGAATTGTAATAAATTTTGGTCTCTGATAGTTTTCAAACTTGTTCTATAAACAGTTTAATAATCTTATTGCAAAGCAAGTACTATAGTTATTACAAAACTGTATTTGTGTTTTGTGTAATTATGAAATGTGGTTTCATTGTTTATGTTAAATAGTTGCTATAACATCTAAATGGTTGTAATATCTTCCCAAGTCACTTAATTTGATTTAATACAAAATTTGTTGTATGTTTATATTTATATTTTGTGCTGAGTAAATCTTGTTATATAACAATATGATATGAATTAAAATCTTTAATTTTTTGGTAATGATATCTGAGTCATCAACTTGCAAATAAAGTAATTAGTAACAATCCAAACAATCCTTGTAAGCATATATTCACTGCAAGAATGACAGTGTAATGCCAACTCATATGTATTGTTGCAGAGTGTTATGTGACATTTAGTGTGTACTTTAATGTAAAAATACGCAGATGTTCATATACTTACTGTTAGTGTATTGTAGGCTAATATTTTTATATTTAATTGCAGTACTTTATTTTTTAAATAAGCATCACTTTGCCCTTTTTATAATCTGGCATTCTCTATTCTAACATGCTGCTCTGTAGTTTTGACATTAAAAGATTTTACACATTTTAATATGTTTATCATGTAATTGAGCAATCAAAAGAGAAATAAATGAAAATAGAACAAAAATATTGAGTCTATATCTCAAAATTTTTATTAATGATTAAGATATTTAATAAAACCTTATTTTTCTTTCAATAAATTCTGGTGCAATTGGATACTGTCTCATTAAATGATTCTGAGAGAACATAATATGTTTATCATAAAGAATGAGGCACATTTTCACAATTACAGCTGTATATCTGAACTTAGAACAATTTGCTTATCAAAATAGTATTTAATATTGGAAATAAAGACAGGAGTTTTTGTTTGGAATTGAGAAAATCACAGTTTTTGAGGAATTGAGTTTTTGAGATAACTGAGTTTTGGAGGAACTGAGTTTTAGTTTGGAATTGAGAAAATTTACTGGCAATTTTTGAAAATGCTAAACTGTTAAAACAATAAATTTCAAATAAAAAAGGTGACAAATCTTTTTTTTTTTTTTTTTTGCATTTTTAGTTCAATTTTGAAGGTACTATCACAATTCCCTAGCTGACATTAAGAAAAAATACGAAATGTTATACTATAAGATATGAGTACGATAAAATAATTTGCATAAAGAACTTTTATTTGGGATACTTGACTATCAAACAGATTTTCAAAATAATGGGCCAGCCAAGAATTTTTAAAGGATGGTCAAGCAAATATTCATAATATTTTCCCTGTGTATATAGTAATTTCCCTATCTTTTAACAAGTTACAATTAAATGAATATTTATTTCTACTTGGAAATAAACCCTCTTAAAATTTTAGAGAAAGAGCCATCTAGGTAATATTAATATGATCTAAAACAAGCACTATTAAATGTATTTGATGAAATTAGAAAAACAATATCTTATATCAAACTTAAAAGCTTGTTTTGTTGCAGACTAGGTGAAGCGGGGAATTGAGGAAGTCTGTTTATAAATAGACTACATCACTGTCTTTCAGGGATTCTTCAGCTATGCTTTAGGCATGTATACATATAGAAGACACTACATTAGATATAAGAAACTTAAGATGTGTATCTGTCCTCAGTTAGGAAGAACATTCACAAACTTCATCGTGTGAATAATTTGAACATTTGTTAGATTTCTTGAGTCTTGTTTGAAAATTAAATCTTCTCTTAGGTTGCTATCCAATTACAATTCTCTTAACATCTTGGACCGTCTAATTTCGGTAAGAATAAACAGATGCTGGCAAGAAACCATCGAAATGAAGATAATATACAATATAAATATGTATTACACTTATCAAGAAATGAATCAAAGAAGGAACCAAATTTATAGATAACATGTGACTTATTTAGCTACTATTAGCTTATATTTTATAAAAATGAAATATGGAGTACATCCCAAACATATTTTTACAATTAAAAAAGTGGGACATTTCAAACAAATGATAACCAAAAAAATTAGGAGAATATAACAGAACTTTGATAATCCAATTAGAAATTTTATTTGGCATCCAAAAGGCTACTTTATTTCATATTCAGAGAAAATTCTGAAGATTTTTATTCAAATGTTAAAGCCACACCTTAAAAGCTCAGACTTATCCTTAAACAAAGTAACTATTTATATAAGTAAACTGTCATTGTATTTATTGTAACTATGAGTTTATATTAAGAAAGGTATTACACAGACTAGTGACAGGAACTCCTAACCGAGTTTATTATCATGAAATATATTCATAAAAACATAGAAGACATACTCATAAAAGTATATAAAAATAGAAGTCATAAACAGTGAAATCACATTTCATTTACTTTTAAACATTCATACATTTTATATCCTTAATATTTGATTCCCTTGTTAAAGTGGAACTGATGTTATCAAAATAATAGTTTTACAAGATTATAGGATGAGCAGAAGGTATATTTGCTTACTATTTCTATAATAGCAAAATAATAGCAAATGTAAAACATTTTGCTGCAATTTAAACAAACATATAAAAAGTGAACAAAAAGGGCAAAGAGGATGTGTTCATAATCATTGTAAATCAAATTAGAAAACAGTTTTTTTTTTAACATAAAATAAACTTCAGTGTTTCATTTGTCAATTGTTATTGTTAAAGTTTTAGGTGACAAAATGTTGACTGAGAAAAGTATTTTGTTCAGCAAAAAATAAGTTAACTATTAACTGTATTCCACTTAAAAAGAAAAAAAAACAACAAAGTAAGACTAGTCGAAGATTACTTTTACAGAGAGATTCAATAAACAATGCATTTAAGGGTAAACCAGTATGAAATGTTTTTTCTTAGGAAGCTCACATAAAATATATATCACTGTGATTCCACACGTGCTATGGTCCTTTATACAGAGTTGAATAAATTCATTATTTTCTCAGCAGTTAAATAAACAAAGTCTGCGTTCCCTGAATAATAGGAAGATTTGATGCATGTGCCTGCTGGCTCGCTTCCTCTGTCCCATTTGCAAGCTTCAGTAACTGTTCTCTACAGAGCACCAAAGGGACACAACAAACACGTGAAGAGATCACTCTTATCCCACAGAATGAGCTTTACAGTAACTTGGATCTCTATATGACGGTGTAAATTCAGAGCAACTTACCCGATTCTCTGCAACAAAGGTGGTAAACTTTGCAAGGAGTGAAAATCATGTAATACTTCAGAGAAATGCAGGATGCAGCTGCTGCTCCAGCCTGTAAATTGGACTGCACTGACATTCAGTGTTACTGAATGTAGCAATCAACTGTTACTGACAAAGCTCGCGAGAGTTGGCAGCAGCAACTTGATCTAGAGGCAGCCAGTCTTTACTTTCTGACATCTGTTCAGAGGCTAATGGTATGAATGCAATAGTGATTCATTTACAGTAGTATTACAGGATTCATGCTTTGCAATTGCAGGTACTCTTCTAAGAAGGAAGAAAAAAAAAACATAGAAGCTTCTTTAAAATAATCTGAAATGTAACAGAAAACGCATGTTTCTTTTAACACTATCTAAACTTTAAAAAAATTATTTTTTAGAATATACATATTTCCTATGCTTGTCTTAATATTTGAAGATGTATATATCATTCTAAAGAAGTGCTATTATCAAAATCCATTATAGCTTCAATCTGTGCTAATTATGCAGCTAGAGAAGATAGTAAAAGAGAAAATAAGAAACAGAATTCTCCATATATAAGCTATGCAAATCAAAAACTTAGTTCTATGAACTGAATGGATGTCTCTGATATGTATCTCCTTTCAACCCCCACACTCCAACACTTATTTAAGTCATACAAATTTCAGCATTGGTAATTTCCTATTCAGAAGACCCTGCAGGCAGTCATATATGATGAGAAGCCACAATGTTCTGGTCAAGACAGGAAAAAGAAAATGAATAACCTTCACCAAACTCTATAAAGAGACACGTTTGTCAACTGGCAGTGCACATGCTCTGGGGAATATATTTATGTCTTTGGCGCTCATCTTTCTTGAAATGATGTTCAGGAAAATAAAAAATAATAAAAAAAAAAACCTGTAATGAACTCTTTAATCCCTATCTTCTCAATGCAGTATATTCTGAATCTTCTGTAAGTGATAGCTTTCACTTTTAAATCTCTTACTTTTGGGCTCACTATGGAGTAAACAGAAAGCATGGGTTAATATTTGCAAGTGAGCACTTTTTTTGCCTTTTGACAGAGTGTTAAATTTTCAAACAAACAAATATAATTGGCATTTGTTGTAATTCTAATTTATGCCATTCATTATAATTGACAATTTACATTAAATATTTTATATTATTCCAACAAATATGAGAGTTATTATTATTAACCACCCCATCAGATGAGAAAACCAAGGTTTATACAAGTCAGAAGCTTACTATATTCCTTACCACTAGTACCCACTGGGAAACAGAATTTTAATCTGTATTAGTCTATTATTTCATGTCAAATGCTTCCAAGAGAATAGCCATTTTGGTCTTTTAAACTTATCTTTTCTGTGAAAATTGTTACTTAGGCAGTATTGACTCAATAATAAATATCACGATCACAATTTATCATGATCATAATTTATAATGTATTTAGAATATAGTTTATGTAATAACAACTTAGTTACACAAAAGGTACAGAATACATAATCTATCTAAAAAGGAGGAAAAGGAGGTGGAGTACAGTGGTTCACGAATGTAATCCCAGCATTTTGGGAGGCCTAAGTGGGTGGATTGCTTCAGTCTGGCAGTTCAAGATAAGTCTGGGCAACATAGCAAAACTCCATTTCTACAAGAAAATGGGTCAGGCATGGTGGTGCATGCCTGCATTCCCAGTTACTCGGGAGGCGGGTGAGGTAAGAGGATCACCTGAGCCTAGGAGGTCGAGGCTACAAGCCATGATTGTGCCACTGCACTTCATCCTCGGTGACAGAGTGAGATCCTGTCTCAAGAAAATTAATTAATTAATAAATCAATTAAAGCAGGAAAAGGCTTTTAAAATGGAAGTACACTGACAAATTTGCAATGATCTATATAGTGATGGCATTTCTGTTTAAAATAAAGTAAATCTGATGTTCTACATGAGAGTTCATGGGTTCAATATACATGATTTTTAAAAATCCAAATGTCAAAATTATTCTCTCCAACACAAGTCTACTGCGTTGTTTCCTGTGTTAACATACAGTCAGCCTATCAAACCTGGCAGTTATTAAGGAATGTTTTGTGATGTTAGTGAATTCAGCAGAGCATTTTACACTCTTTCTGTATCTACTCACTGCTAGGTAAAAATATGTCACATATATACACGTATTTCATTTTCATCTTTAAACAGGAAGCCAAACAATAAAATAATTGGTTTCAAGCAGATCTTTATCTTTAATGCATGTTTAAACTGGCTAACTAGCAACATCAACTGATTACACAAGTTGGCAATTTTTCTTCTGCTCAATGTCTTTACTTCAAAGAACCATCTTCTGTTACTGCCCCTGTAGTTCTTTTCTTCACATGATTTCACAGCTTTGCCACATTAGTTCATTATTTCAGTGCACCTCTAAAGCATTTCTTCTTCCTGTCTTGGGAGTTTCTTCCTTGTGGCTCAACTTACAGCAGCTGCTTTGCTTCTGTGAGGTCATCATTTTCTCACACACATCCAGCGGAAGGATGTAGGTCACACAGAGTGAGCTTGTTTTAGGGTTAGTAGGCAAGCACTATTCCATTACCTCACAACCTGGATGGTTAATGATCCTGCTGTTAAATGTTGAGTATGCCTTGTAAGCGACACTGATGAAATACCACAAGACACTTGACACGGCACTAATACTGCTCAGATTTTGCAACCATATATGCTGAAGTTTGGGCAGGACAATCATTATGGTCTTGGCTCTGTGATCACTTTCAGTTAGCCAGTCACAGTGGTTTTTTGCTTTTACGGTTCCACTGTAACTCAGTTACCACTGTTTTCTAGATAGTAGCATTCAGTAAGATTTGAGATGGTGTGAAAAACATTAATCCTGTATTACACATTAGTTTCCCTTAGGCACACGGATGCCAAAAAGGTGCTCTGAACTTACATTAATTTTATTCACTTTTTACAATAGCACTGTGTTCTCTGAAATAAATATGGATGTAAAGAAAAATGTATTTTTATATATATATATATACATATAAATTTTTTTTTTTTTTTCCCTGAGATGGAGTCTCACTCTGTCCCCCAGGCTGGAGTGCAGTGGCACAATCTCGGCTCACTGCAACCTCTGCCTCCTGGGTTCAAGCAATTCTCCTTCCTCAGCCTCCTGAGTAGCTGAGATTACAGGCACCCACCACCACATCTGGCTAATTTTTGTATTTTTAGTAGACGCAGGATTTCACTATATTGGACAGGCTGGTGTCGAATTCCTGACCTCAGGTGCTCCACCCGCCTCAGCCTCTCAAAGCGCTGGGATTACAGATGTGAGCCACTGCGTCCAGACCAGAAAAGTATATTTCTACATTTTACATATCACAGAGAATGAAAAGATCATTTTGTGTATTCCAGTCAATTTTTAAAAATATGTGTATGTGGTTATAGTTACACAGACAAATATAGTGGTAGTCAAATGGCTTATCATCATTCTTCTTGCTTTTTATCTTATAATATTAATTTCCTATTCAAATATTTTGATTACTGTATGATATATTATCATATGGGCATATTATGGTTCATTGTATCTCTTGTTATTTATATGATATAATAATAATGTTAGGTAATAAATATTATTTGAAAGCACTATTCTATCCACTTTGAATACATGAATTCATTTAAAACTCATGACTACCTTTAAAATAAGCACTATTATTATCCCTATTTTACAGTTGAGAAAATATAGCCACAAAGGGTTTAAGTAACTTGCTCCAAATCATACAGATACTGAGGTTAGTTTCTGACTTTTTTAATGTAAGTATTATTACAATAGGCATTTTGCATATTGATATTTGAGTGCATCTTTTAATTATTTCCTTAATTTATTTTCCCAGAATTGGAATAACCAAATATGATGGGAACAAAGTACATATACATATATGTATATATATGTGTGTGTGTATATATGTTTTTATATATATATATGTGTGTATATATATTAACTCTTCTGGAATCCTACACAGACTGTTGAATAGAAATAATTTTCCAACAATTCTGGCACAAAAGGGAAATGTTTTTATAATCAGACTGAACATGTCTCTGGAGCCCAGGGCCCAGACCCTCACAGCTGGATGTGGCAGGTGTTTGAAGGTGGATATCTCCAGAGATATTAGAAGTAGGTCCAGCGCCATAGGTAATAAAATTCTTTAGTGATGTCGTGGTGACTAATATGGAAGGCCTTGCAGGAGGTGATATCTGCAAGGGATAACACATAGATATTTTGGGGTTAAGGGAGAGTGAATGATGGGAGGTCTGTGGTGCTTTTTACATGAAGATACAGATAGCTTGGGTAAAGGAATTATGGAAAGAGATCTACAGGAAACAACAATTTGGTTAGACACTAGAATATTAGATTCTAAGAACAGAAATAAAATCAAGAAAAAGCAACAGCTTCTAAGAAAATGTGGTGCCAAGTGGATTTTCATGGAATTGGCAAAGCCAGGAGAATCAAAGTAAGAAAAAAAATTCTGAACTAAATTGTTCAGGGCTTGAACAAATAAAAGGCGAAACTCATTATTTTAAAACATAAACCAAGAGAGAAAAACAGCAAGCTTCTTTGTTTATCACCTAATTTACTGAATTGGCTTAAATTTACTCTTCCCAAACCCTTGACTATTCTTGGAGTCTCGCTCTCAGAAAAATTGCAAAGTAGTATGTCATCAAATTAATCAAAGTGCTATTTAAACATCTAGATTTCTAGGCCACATCCCTGGACTTTGGTTTCAGTAGACTTGAGGACAGCGTTATACTAGTGTCCTCTGTGAAGCTGATAGAGGAAGTTCACAAACTACACACTAATAGGCAAAGTCCTGGAGCCTGGATACTAAGGACATTTTTGTGCTACCATATATATATGCTTTTTCTTTTTTTTATTCCTTATTCTCATGCACAACTGTACCTTTTGCTTCAAGCTAATTTGGAAATACGTCACACATAGTCTTTGGTAGCCTACTTTCATATAACCTACCTTAAGTTTTTCCAAAATAATGCTACCAAATATTTTTTAACTTCATTTATATGCCTATATATTAATTATGTGTATAGGTACAATATAATTTATCTAACTTGCTTTTATTTTATATGAAGACTATTTTAAATTTTTCCTGGAAATAGTA